TTTGATCTTTGCACTTCGTTTCCAAAATGGGGGGGGGGGGGGGGGGAGGGGGAAGGGGGGGAAGGAAGATAAATTCAGGATCCCAGACGTTGCATCCCTCCTGTGCCAGAGCAGTGCAAAAAGCGGTGGTGAAGAGGAGGATTTGGGGTATAAAAACCCCTATGGATGTGTTGGCTCTGCTGTTGGGGCTGGCAACACGTGCAAGGCAGTATGGTGCACTCCCATGTTCCAGTAAGGAAGGGCTGAGCTCACAAAGTGCTCCTTTCCACCCTGAAAAACCCTGAAACTTTTTCCTATGCTTCGATCAAAGAGCACAGAGCCGTTCCTGCCCCACTGGGATAGATGGAAACAATGAGAAATGCTTGGAGGAAGCTCATACAAAAGCATTTCCACCCTCCGTGCCCACACAGCACTGAGTTAATTGGTGAAACACTGCAGATTCAAGCAGGAAATGTTCAGATCAGGAGAAGTATGCCCTAAAGTTCATAGACGTTACGGGTTGGGGTCATCTTCTGCTCTGCACAACTTCTCCTTGTTAAGCTGAATCCCTCTTTTGACAAAAAAAATTTCTGCAGAAAAAACCACAACGTTTTTCTGCCTAAAAAAGGCTGCAAAATGAGTATTTTGGGCGCGTTTGCACTGAGCTGGGCACGGCCGTGTCGGGAACGCGCGCTGCTGAGTGGCCAACAGCTCCATCTCCTGTCTGAGCTCCAGGCAGCAGCTCTGGGGATGGCTGGCAATGCATGTGCTCCCATACTGTCACCAAACTCTGCTCCCCAGACAGCTTTCAGGTGTCAAGAGTAGTGATTTGAGAGCAAATTGCATGCAAATGCCCTGACCTCTCCTGCAGTGTTTTGCATTGGGTTGCAGGAGGTTTGAAGCACTTCTCCATCTATTGCATGCTTCTGAAAGAGAGAAACCAAGAAAAAGGTGGGGCTGCATTGGAGCTGCAGCATCTCTGAGTTCAGGATGCAAATCAGAGAGGTGAGTGAAAGATGCTTGCAGAGTGGTCTGTCCATTCAGCCATAGCATGGATGCAAAACATGGGCAGAAAGTTGCAAATCTGGGGCTCATCACTCATTTTAAATAAGAACAATGGGGAAATAAAACAAAAACTAACACCTGCAGGAGGGTGAGAGCGAGGCAGCCCATGTTTTTAAGGGGAAGCCCCAATATTTTGTTCCATTCTCCTTTGCTATCAGCTGCTGTGGCTCAACTGCGTTTTTGGAGTTGTTTGACCACCCAAGAGAAGGAGCAGAGAAAATGTAGAGCCCAGAGCGGAAATAATCCCTCTTTTCCGTGCACATCAGAGAGGATTTTCCCTTCTGGGAAGAACTGGATGAAAAGCAAACCTGAAACATCTGCAGAAGGCAAACCCTGGAACTCCAGAGCCCAGGGACAGGGCACCACACAGCTGTCTGTGTTCTGGGCAGCTGAAGGCTGTAGCAGATTCAGTCATACTGAGGCTGGATGGATGGAGCAGGAGGGGTCTCTCCCTGCACAGCATTGTCATCACTGGTGCCACCCTTGCTGCAACATCCCTTAGCAGTGCAGGGCTACACCCAATGCTAAATACAACAGAGCTGGTGTGAAGCTCCCCATAACAAGAGCAAATTTGCAGCCCAATACAGGATGCCCTGATATTGCAAACCGGAGCAAGAGGCTGTCTCCAAACCAAACTTTAATGCAAGTTGGAGGGGTCCATTTTGGAGCCCCATATCCCCAGCTGAGTCCCAATGCTCTTTGGGGAAAGGAACATCTTTTCATAACATCTTTCCTGATTTTGCCACACCATGCAAAACCAGGACAAGCACCGAGGCTGATGGGGTCAATCCACCTGTGTCTGCACAACGTGTGGGTAGAAATATTGACATTTCCTTGCTGGGCTTGATTTCTTCATGTGCTCGATGGGTTTGCAGGATCCCAAGGTTGCCAAGAGCACGGTGAGGGCTGCTGGCAGAGGGTCCAAAGGACTCGAGATGGCAGCAGAGCATCTTCCCCCTCCCTGATCCCCATCCCACCTCCCAGCACTGCTGTGCATCTCCAAGCACCCATGGTTTCATCTTGGAGGGTGCTGTGCCCCCTCCTCCCTTCAACTCTCAGCGTTACATCCCATGGTTGACCCAGCAGATGGCATTTGCCAGCAGTAGAGTGGGGACAATGCTACCGCACGGTCCCCTGGGGGCTCGGCTGGGGGGTCCCCGCTTGGCCCCCAGCTCTGGCCAAGCTGCAGCATGGAAACCCCCAGCTGGTGGGGGCTGCCGTTGGGCCGGGGGGCCGTGACCAAGGCGGGAGGGCCGCGGGCGCCCCAGGAGCCCCATCCCATACCCTGCGGCGGCACCGGCTGCGATGGCGCTCGCCATCTTGGAGCCTCGGCCTGCAGTGTTGGCTCCACGGGAGATGGACCGAAAGCCCCCACGGAGCCCTCCTCCTCCTCCGCCACCTCCTCCTCCTCGTCCCCCAGCTCTTCCTCCAGCTCCACGTCGGCCTCCAGCAGTGTTGCTGAACAGGGCGAGCAGCAGCATGGCCACCCAACACCAGGCGTCACGGGGCCGCATCCCGAGAAACCTGCAAGGAATGGTTGTGGTGGCCTGAGATTGGATTGGAAGAGTTGTTAAAGATCACAGAGCCATGGAACCGCAGAACGGTTGAGTTGGAAAGGACCTCACAGCGCCACCATCTCCCCCCCTGCCGTGGCCTGGCTGCCTCCCACCGGCTCAGGTTGCCAAGGGCCCATCCATGGCCTTGGGCATCTCCAGGGATGGGGCATCCGCAGCTCTCTGGGCAGCAATGCCAGAGCGCCATCCTCATGGCGAAGAATTTCTTCCTAACATCCAACTAAATCATCCCCTCTTTCAGTTTAAAAATATTCCCCTTTGTCCTGTCACTATCAGAGCACATTTAAGTTGGTTTCATATTGTTTATAAGCTCCCTTTATGTACTGGAAGATTGCAGTGAGGTCCTTCCCAGAGCTTTCTCTTACCCTGAATCACCCAAGATCCCTATCTTCATAGGAGAGGTTCTCTCTATATATTATATATACAGTATATTTAATGTTATATATTTAACGTTAATTTGTTCAGTTGATGAGATGCTGGAAAAGGTTGCCCAGAAGGGCAGTGATGTCCATTCCCCAGAGGTGTAGATGGCCAGGCAGGATGGGACCCTGGGCAGCCTGATCTGGTGCTAGGTCTAGTGGTTAGCAACACTGCCACAGCAAGGGGGTTGGAACCGGATGATCCTGGGGGCCCCTTCCAACCCAAGCCATTCTGTGATTCTATGATTTCATGTATTTGATCCATTCGATACATTCAAAGAATCATCAACTGGTTTACGTTGGAATGGATCCTTCAAGATCATCCAGTCCAACTACCCCACCATGGACAGGAACACACAGTATATCTCATGGAATCATAGAATGGCTTAAGTTGGAAGGAACCTAAAAGATCACTGGGTTCCAACCCCCCTGCCATGGGAAGGACTGCCAGCCACTACATCAGGCAGATCAGGGCCCCATCCAACCTGGCCTTGGACGCCTCCATATATGTGATATATTGAATCTATTCTTTAACTCACTACTCAATCCATTTACCACATTCAGTATACACACGGGATCAGCACTGCCATTGAGTTGCAGACTTCCATAGTGCCAACTTGTGATGTCAATGCTGCCAAGTATCCCAGCAAAGTTGCAGTTCGGCTTTTGCACCCCAGTGAAAAGCAGCAGTGAGGACCCCCCCAGTACCCCCCCGTTAGCCCTTGTGGCTGAGCAAATAGATTGATTGTGCCGAAGCTGCTGAGCCATCGCTGAGCTGTGTTGACAAAAGCCTTTTGAAAAGGCAGAGCCTGTGTCCCCGATTGAGTGAAAGCCAATGGAGCATCCCTGCATCAGCATTTCCCCCAGTAGAAGGTGCCAGGCGTGATTCCAGCCTCCAAGTCTGACACACGAGAGGCAGTGCAAATGCAGAGCTTCCTAAAAAAAGGACTTACTTAAATTAGCCACCTTCAGCACTGTTAGAGGACCTGTATCTCCAAGCAGTGTAGCATCAACTTTTTTTTTTTTTTTTGCTTTAAAGAAAGTTAGGCACAAGTCTCTGTTCCAGATGCTTTCAGATGTGGAAACGCACTCAAAAAGAAAACAAACGAAGGCTTCCTTTTCCCTCCCTTTTTCCATTCCATTATCCCTGCAGCATCTGCACTTACAGATCACAATGCAGGTAATACAGCATTGCACACCTCTCTGGGTTGCTTTTCCCACCCCAACCCCCAGATTTGCAAACCTGCAGATCCTCCAGCTCCACCCCTGCCTGCTGTGCCATCCAGCAGTGCACTGCTCTTACCTTGCAGCCGCAGCCGCGCTGCCTGTGCCTCCTCCCGCCTGCACGCACAGAGCTCAGCTCACACTGGGATTTTCCCAGCTGATAAAGCATCTCTGGTCAGAGCCAACGTCACACATTCCCCTCCTCTACAGGGAGGGATAAATTGTTTTCAATGGGATGGGCAACACGGGATGGTGGCTTCCAGAGAGCTCGGCCTCTGGGAGGCAAAAAAACAAAACGCATCAGGTTGAAAATTTCAGTGGGTTTAAACAAGACTGAGCAAGACACAAGCCTCCCTTCAGAGGTGAAATTTACACTCTGGAAGAGAATCAGAGAATCATTAAGGTTGGAAAAGACCTCCAAGATCACTAAGTCTAACAACCCATCTCCACCATGCCCATAGAATCATAGGATCATTAAGGTTGGAAACGGCCTCTAAGACCACCAAGTCCAAGCAGCGACCCTTTCCTTCCATCCCCATAGAATTACTGAGGCTGGAAAAGACCTCCAGGGTCACCAGTTCCATCTGTTGACCCATCCCCACCATGCCCACAGAATCAGAGAATCATTAAGGTTGTAAAAGACCTCCCAGGTCACCAAGTCCAACCACTGACCCACCCCCACTATGCCCAAAAAACTACGTCCGCAAAGTGCTTTATTCTGAACAAAACCAGCTCTAACTCATGTGCTTCCATACTGTATTAATTTGCTACATATTTTGGTTTTCTTGTTAATAAACAAAGCAATGCCACAATCGTCCTCCAAACACATAAAACACTTTTGACACCGGACAATACTTCCCGTAACACGTGTTAAAAGTGTAAAAGGTACCATTAACCAAAAGGAATGTTAACAAAGATACATTGCAAAATACTCAAGAGTGGGAGAAGTCAGAGTTTTAGTTCACATCGAGGTATTAAATAGATATTGCTGGTTTCGCATGGAGGGAGGGAGGCTTTTGCCTGGCAAAATAAACCTCATTCTGTCTCAGTCCCCTCACACAGAAGGAGAAACATTACCCAGACTCAGTTTCAACTCACAAACATGCAAAATCCCCCCAGAAAATGAGATGAGGAGAGTTCGGAGTCCCTGTGCCGCTCCATTTTCCTTACAGCGATCTCTCAGGGCAGCTCAGCACCATCGTTGCTCCGGTGAGCAGTATTTGGCATTTGGCTACCAGAGAGCTTTGACATCGTGTGTGTGGTGGTTCTTTTAAATCCCACAGTATAATTAGTGCAAATTAAGAACAGGGAGAGGAGGGTTAAACAACCAGATGTGGGTTTAAGGGAGAAATGAGCTGGAACTCTTCTACTGTAAGTCCAACATTCAATCTTATTTGCTTTCCATGGCGAAAGTGGAAGAAAGCAACTCTCAGAAGTCCTTTGGGGTTGTACAAAAGCTTCCCATCACCTCTGAATTATTGCAAGACAAATGTGCTTTTTTTCCCAACATATATCTTTCTTTTCTAAGAGGAATCATTTGTGCTGTTTGGCTTCCTCCAGGCACTGTATGGGAGAACTGCACCAAACTGAGCCTGGGTTATTGCTGCTGAGCACTTGCAGCCCTTCTCATGCCCATCTGCAGCAGCTTTGCTCTGCTCCTTAATCTCCTTTTATCTTTTTTTGCAAGGATTTGAGTTTTGTGCCACTGGGAGAGCCCTGCACGTGGCTCTCTGCATCCAGCAAGGAGCAGAACAAGCATTTGCAGAAGAAGAGCCCTCCGAGGATGCTGCAAAGAAGCTGCCGAGTCCTGTGCATGGGACGGGGCTACCTGAGTGTGCCAGCATCGCAGGGGCTTGCATTTTTGGGGGTGACATCAGGGCATGGCAATAGCTACATTCTGCCCTGTGCAGAAGGACGGGTTGGCTCCTGGTTGATGCTCCCCAAGAGATGGGAATGTAGGGTTTGGAGCAGGATGGCCTTCGTGCAAGCTTCTTGCAATGAGAGCTGCATTCACAGCCTTGCTGGACCTTCAGAAATCTCCTCCAGTCTCTGTTCAATCATCAGCCGGAGGATGGAATACCTGGAAAGGCAAAGGGAAAAGCTGAGCTGAGAAAGAGTGGCTTCAGGAGACCAGCATGTGCTGCTCTGTGGATGGAGTCATGGCATTATGTAGGGCTGGCTTCCCGAAACCATCCTTTTTTTTCAGTATAATGTCAAAAGTTCAGTTTCCCACCAGTAATATAGAACACTGATTTGTTTTCAAGCTTTATCCTTTTTAAATTGGAAGAATAAAATTGCTTTTTAATCACTTTTATATATAGAAAAACCCATGAATGTCAGAGTTTTGGAGGGACTGGAGCACCTCTCTTCCTTTTTGAGAGCTCTTCAAAGCAAATGGAGCTGAGAGTCCCGATGCTTCCAAGTTCCCTGCTGCATCTGCTTAAGCAGAGGTCAGAGATGCTGAGGCTGGGAGCCCAGACCTCCTGATGGGACGTGCACAGACTGCAGCCAAACTCTGCCCCAGGGGAGCACACTGCTGGGAGCTGACACTGCACCATGAGCCTGACGTTACTGCAGGCATTGGCTCCAGTGCAGCGTTTCTGCAGCAGCAGCAAGCTGCTCTTTTCATCCACATTGCTAAGAAGGCTCTGGATAATGCAAAAAGCAACAGCTTGTGCATGCATTAGGGATGCTGCCTGCCTTGTAAATCAGTCTCTGGCCCCCAGCTGAGCCCCTCAGCAGTGCCCTTTAAGCTCAGCACCTCCCCTGTGCAGGGCACACTGTGCATACTTGCGCATCAGCTTCTTCACTTCGCGGTCCTCCTCTTCCTCCAGCTTCTGGATGAAGCTCCTGAGGACAGGCATTTCGAATTTGATGTACTGTGCCACCTGCAGGGCAGAGACATGTAGGGAAATCTCCACTCTGTCATCTCAAACTTGGATCTTCACATCAAGGGAGAGATGCACGCACGCACACTTCCCAACTGTGCACACAAATGCACACAAAAGTGCCTCGTCTGTGCTCCGACTCAGGAACAAAGCCACACCAGGGGTGCAAAGGAGCCAGCAGATGGCACAGCAGAGCTGATTCCCATGAACGGCTCTTTCCCAACTGGGACAAAAAGGAAATCGTTTGTGCCAAAGGATGCGGAGCTGAGAGATCCGGGAGACAGGAGGCAGATGGAGCACGGCAGATGCAAAAAGCAGGGAGCTCTGCATCCTCTGCAGGCAGGAACTTACAGCTCCATCAGGTGCTCTCAGCCTGGCCCAGCCTGGATTCACACCCAGGGACTGCAATTTCTGCAAAACCCCTTTTTGGAGGCGCTCACCCACATTTTCCAGCCCATGCAACCACTGGGGACACTGAGAGGCAAAAAGCTTCCCCCAGGGCAAAACTCACATCATAGGTGACCTCCTCCACCTGGTCCTTCTCCATCAGGAAGACCTTGGAGACCTGCTCACAGGGGCCCTGCAGGACGCGGGCGATCAGCGGGTAATCAGTGGCCCTCAGCTTCTGCTTCTCTGCAACACCAAAAGCGCTGTTTTTACAGCAGCAAGGCCACCAACGGGGCCCAGCTGCCCCCTCCTGCAGCCTCACCTCCGCTGGTGTGCACGATGTAGAGCGCGAACTCCTCCGCCGAGTTCTCAATCTGAGCACAGACACCAAGAAGCGTCGTGGTTGGATTCGGGATTTTTCAAACAAACAAGCAGAAAATCCCATTGTTTTGCTCTCCCATTATATCTCATATCCATGGAACTCGAGCTCCCCATGATACCCAGTGCAAGCATCTCCCCCACTTGCCTTGAACTTGTTGAGCAGCAGCTTGAGCACCTGCGGGGTTGTCATTGTGCTGTTTATCCGCACGTTGGTGATGGAGCCGTACGCAGGCGTGAACACGGATGTCTGTAGGGCACAGGATGCATGTCACCCTATGAGTGAAAACCAAAACCCCATCCACGGTGCCAGCAACAGATCACTGGGTCTCACCTTGTGGTTGTAGAAGTGCCCGTTGATGGAGAAGCGGTGGCGGCGGATGCGGCGCTGCTCACTGGGGGTTCGGGAGCTGCCCCGGCGCCGCACGCCCACATCGCTCCGTGTGCGCAGCAGCTGCGGGGGATCTTCTGGCTGCAGCCTCGTGGTGCCTGGAAAAGCCAGGATGGGGCTGAGGAGAGACAGGCAGGCAAACAGACAGGGACAACTCCCTGCGCAAGTTGGGCAGAAACCACTTCTTTGCTCTGCTTTGGGTCAATAGCAAGCAACAGGGTCAGCAAATAACCAATGAGGTCAACCAACAATCAGTGGGGTCAACCAAGAACCAACAAGGTCCACCAACAATAGCCAATGGGGCCAACAATAACCAACAGGGTCAACCAACAACCAGCGGGGTCAACCAGCAACCACCGATGGAGTCAATCAGTAATAACCAATAGATTCAACCAGTAACCAATAGGATCAACCAATAACTGATGGTTCAACTGATAATCAGCTGATAAGCAGAGGGGTCCTAGATGGAATTGTCACGACACACATTGCAAGGTAAAACAGCCATAAGAGGTGGACAAATCTCCCACGGGATTTACTCTCCCCCATCTCCCAAACGAAGCTGTTAATTCACAGCCATTGCATCCATCCATGCCACCACCTGGATAACACTCTGCCCCCTAGGGACTCGAGCACCTTCCTTGCTCCTCCATAATTTAACTTTTTTTTCCTCTCCCTTAATGAGAGCAAGAAAATGAGGCCAGAGCTTCAGATCTCGGCATGAAGACTGGCCCACGTCCAGATTATTATAAACTCACCCTTCATCCATTTTTAATGAACCCCTCCAGCTCAAGCTGGTGTTTTAATTCAAAGCATGTCTGTGCCGAGACAGTCTCCTGTGTGTGCTGTTCCAGATGAACACCAGTGACTAAGCACTCACGAAGAGCTGTGCATGCACATTATGCTCTGATTTTGCAGGATTCTGGAGAAAAGCACAATAAAGACTTCTTTCTGTGAGTCACATCATATGCCTAAAGCAGTGGCAGGCAATGCATAGCGGATATCGCCCCGCAATCTGTAACAGGTCTCCAGGGCAATAAAAACAAAAGAGTCGTGCACAGGCAGAGCAAAATGAGGAAGGGGAAGCAGGAGGAGGACTTTTGCAGATCTGGAAGCATTGCAAGGGCTCTGCTCCTCGCTGGTCGGGAAGCAGATGAGCAGTAAAGCTCAGAGCTGAAAGCATTATCTGGCTCTTATCTGTCTCCAGGATGCCAGGAGCACTACAAAAAAAAAAAAAAAAAAATAGCAAGGAACACGTGCAAAACGCCCTGATGAGTGGCAAAATGCATAATGTGGTTTTATGGTGTCCCATTTGTTGCAAAAACGGAGAGCAAAGTTGGTGAGCAGGTGGTGGGACTCAGCCCCGGGGGGGTTAAGGAAGCCGCAGGGCAGGCAGCAGTCTGCAGGGAGGAACAGCCCTCAAGTCTGACCTCAGGGCACACAGCAACCCGTGGGGAGGGTAAAAACTTTGCAGAAATGTTGACTTCCCCATGGTAACAGCACTGCACAGCGGCGCTCATTATTCCTCCGTCAAAGCGGAGCTGCTGGGAAGGGGAAGCAGCAACATCCTTTTCCCGGCGCTCCCACGAGGCCTTTGGCTCCATCCCCCTGTTGCTTTCCATCCTCTTCTCCCACACCTCCACCAAGGGCATTCCCCAGAGCAAACTCTTCAGGAGGGTTTTGGGTCACTGCGATTCAATAGCAGCACTTTGGCAATGGTTTAAGAGAGGGGGGACACCGATTTATACCAAAAGCAAAACGCCAGCTTCTGAGTTCTGCAAATAAAAACGGAGCGTAAGGAAGGCAGCACAGAAAAACCCAACTCATTCTCACCTGCGTTGCTGCTGGCACCCTCTGCCTTCACTGTGGCATCCACATCTGTCACCTGGATGTCTGGCAAGGTGCTGGGCTTCAGCACAGACCTTGTAAAATAAAAAATTGGGGAAAAAAACAACATGATTTTTTTGCCTTAGGGTCTCACATTGTGATTTTGGACCCACAAGCCCATCCCCCACTGGAGAGCAGGATTTTCCTCCTGGTTTGTGGTTTAACCCTGTCCATCTCACACCTCTGCACCCCTACGTGCCCACAGCTGAGTGCACCCAATTGCACGAGGCTGATGCTCTGAGCAGGATGGACCCTGCAGTGCAGCCAGCCTCTTCTTACAGATCTACACGTTGCAAACCTCCTGCACGGTCTCTAAAACGCCCAAGATCGTGCATTTATTTTTCCATTTGCAGATATCTAAGAGACGAGCAAAAAGCACTCAGCGCAACGCATGGGGACACCGCTCTTGCTCACTTCATAGGGTCCCACGGGTGCTCATAAAACCAAAGAAAACTCTAAAACTGTCCTGGAGAAACTGCTTGCACACAGATTAAAATTCAGTGTAAAACTCGGTGTGCATTCAAGTGAAAAATGAGACTTTTTGGAGGAGCTTCCTGGGGTCTTCACAAAAGGAGTCTTCGCAGAGTGAAAACAAGAGATCTCACTTTGCCCCTCTGCACGTTGCACACTGGGGAAAAAAGGAGATTTTCTGCACAAAGCAGTGAGTGAATGCACCATGGACTCACTGGTGAGTGCAGTTATCTGGCTGCGGAGGCAAAGAGCAAATATTTACAGCCCTGGGGCCTCACCTTCATTAGGAGAAACGATTTATTACAATTGTTACCGCATGACCAAACCCTGATGCCAATGACTTAATTGGGATTGCTCCTGCTGGGGGGCTGCATACCACGGCTTGGGGCATTGCTGCACTCACCCGTGTGCCCCCAGGTTGCACCCAGAGTGCCAGGAGGAGGAGGAGGGCGGCGGGCGGATGCGCTGGTTGTCATCCTGCATCTGCAGGCGGATGGGTCGCCGAAGGCCCCATGAGATGTTCAGCAGCCCCTCAACGATCAGCTCACCTTCCTCCTGCAAAGAGCAGAGCGATGGGCACGGCCCCCCTGAGTCCCACGAAAACACCGAATGTGGAGGAGCAGCAGGAAAAGGGGTGGGAGGAGGGTTGGGAAGTGGAGGAGCTGGTGGTGGTGTGAAGGACAGGGTTGGCTGGATGATAGCAGGGGCCAAGCATAGAATAACATCATTAAGGTTGGAAAAGACCTCCAAGATCACATCAAGTTCAACCACCAACCCACCCCCACTATCGCACATGTGGAATCAGTGAGGCTGGAGAAGACCACCAAGACCCCCAAGCCCAACCCATCCCACCATGCCCACTGACCGCGTCCCCAAATGCCACATCTCCACAGTTCTCAAACACCTCTGGGGATGGTGACTCCACCACCTCCCTGCGCAGAGAGGACGGAGCTCCTTCCATTGCTTCCCAGAGCCTGGATCAGAGGCGCTGGCTGCAGACTGGAGCACAGGAGATTCCCCTGACCAGGAGCACTGCTGTTCTGCACAGTGCCAGACGTTGCGGTGGCTCCTCTTTGGAGATCCCTGAACCCACTTAGACATACGTGGTCCTGGGCACCAGCTCTGGTGGTCCTGTTGGATCAGGATGGGACCAGAGGGACTCAGAGGTCCCTGCCAACCTCAGCCATGCTTCTGTGGGAGAGTTATGGGGTCGGGGGTTCAGCTGCCCCCATATTTGATCAGCGAATATCAATGAACTTTGCTAACAGGCATTTTTAGGACCTTGCAAATCTGAATCAAATCTGAATCATCATTTCTCCATTGAGTGTCTTCTGACGGAGAGAAGCCTGCCTGGTGCCCACCCTGGTTCCTCACCTCCCGGTGCCGCAGCTGCAAATTCTGCCCTTCATAGTAGATGTTGTATGTCTTCAAGTGCAACAGCAGCTCATTTCTGCAAGAAAATGGGAGAGGTGCTGAGAAGAAGAGGGGAAAAGCGAGTATAAAGGCTCCATTTGGGAAAATGTGGGTCTTTTGCAGCCTCTAGATCTCCATTACTGGGGACGTTTGCTGTGGGTTCAACCAGGTGTCCCTCCAGCCATTGGCAACTGTGGTTTTGGGGACAACTGTGCCATTCTCCAGCCTTGTAAAAAGCAGTAAAGAAGCCCATGGGCCCTTGGTGGAGTCAGTCACAAGGCTGAAAAAGCAAAATTTAGGAGTGTTTGAAGCCCTTGGGTCATGCTGGAGTCACAAGTTATCACAAGTTCATCAGTTTGGCTCATGGCACCAAACCCTGACCTCGTGTTCAAATTAAAAGTCTGAGCCCGACTCTGGCTGCAAATGTATAATAATGACAGTGATGATGGTAACAATAAAGACAAGGCGTCCCAGCACAGCTCTGAATCACTGGGAAGCAACGAATGACAGCATAAAGCAGTCATTAATTCAGCTGAACTCAGTGGTGCTCAGCATTACTGGATCAGTGACAAGATAATTACAGGATCTGAGGCTGTCACAGAACTGTAGGGCTTGGAAGGGACCTCTAGAGATCATCAAGTCCAGGAGAGAAATATTGCACATAGGCTTGATCACCTCCAAAGCAGTACCTGAAGCTCAGCAATTGGCTTGCTTCCGTACCACAGAGCAGTTACTGGGCTAGAGCAGGTTGTATTTTTTTTTTCCCAGCAAAAAGTATTTCAGCAGAAATTCTGAATGCTGTTCAAACCGCTGTTCACATTCCTAAGAAAGCAATTCAAAATCCCCTCAAAAACCCCTTTGAATGCTGCCGGCTCGTTAAGAGGAAGTGGCCATTCTTTGTCCCAGAAGGGCAAAGAAATGGAGTCTCCAAAAGAAATACCCAAAAAATGGAGAGGTTCCGAATCCAGTGGTGCTGAGAAGGCGAAGCCAACCCAGTGCAAACAGCCACTCGGGTCGGGCGGCTCTCCCTCAAAGTCCAACACCCCACACATTTGGAGACGCCAGCCAGCAGCTGTGTGCATCTTTGGGCGCCTCTTACTTGGAGATGAATTTGTCCTTCCCACAGGGGACCAGGTACTCGCAGCTGCTGCCGTACTCCATCCTCAGGCTCCTCTTTCATCAGAACTGAATGGCAGAGAGACAAAAGGCGTTACTGCCTCTGCGCTACCGCATCCCAAAGGCAAGGGGAAACAAAATCGGGTTGGGTTTGGGAGAAGCCCCCGGGGAAAATTAAGGCTGCTCCTCCAGCCGGAGCCACGGGCGGGGAAGCAGGAGGAGAAATCAGATAAGGGAGAAGGGTTGTAAACCCGCTGAAAATTTAATACTGGCGGAGATACGCTTACTGCAACATTTGCATTTAGAGCAGCCTCCATCCATGGGCTGCAGGGCCAGCCAAGACGAGGTGGAAATAAGTGGGATTTGCTCCTTTTTTTTTTGGTCTCATTTATTTTACAGTTCTTTTAGGAAGCTGTGGATGGATGCAGCTCAATGCCTGTTCGTGCTGTCCCAAAATGAGGCAGTGTGCATGACAGCTGGGCTCACACTACAACCACTGCATTGGTTTCTTGCTTTTTTTCCCTTTTTTTTTTTTTTTTTTTTTTTTAATGCAACACCCACTGAATTTTTGCATTCCCTCCTGTGCCAAAATTTTCCATCACACTCATGCAAACCCTCAGAAACTGCGCCTGCAGCCCAACCTTTGAAGTGGTTTGGCCTTAAAGCATGAGGATGTTTTCTGGAAGCTGCAGACCGGAATCAAATGAGAACTGGGGTGAAACCTTTGGGGTCGTCCATTTGCTTGGAGCACTTTGCAAAACCAGAACTGGAGAGAAGCTGAACTGCAGCTTCAGGGCAGTCTTAGGCTATGAGGGGTGGCTTTTTGGGTCTTGCTTTTTTCCCACGTATTTGCACAGATCCTTTTTTCTGAGGTCCCCCCACACAGAAAGAGAAAATAAGGCAAAAAAAACCACTTGATGCACAAATTGCAGTTTTCTCCACTTCCCACGCTGCCCAGAGCTTCGCAGTCCCTTCACGCTCCAAAGCTCCAAGAAACAAAACTTGAACTGCAAAAGCAAAGCTCCAAACCCACAGCGATGCGCAGAGGGATGGGTGATTCAAGCAAGGCCACGGGACAAAACCTGTGTCAGAGGAAACCAAAGACCCGAGGGCAGCAGCAATCCTTATCCCAAGCTCACAGCAAACAAACCACGCAACGGAAAACACTCGTGGTCCAATGGAGGGAAGCATTTGCAAAAGCAAAGCAGAAAGCAGAAGAGAAAGCCGCCCTGCAAAGATCGCATCTTGCAGCGGAAAAGCTGACGAAGCCGCGCGCTTCCTGAAGAGCAGCACTGCAGCCCCACATCAGCACAAGGCCTTTACCCCATCCACGTGGTTCATCACAGCAAGAAAACGGGGAAAAAAAAATAACGACCCTCCACGTGCATGGAGAATTACATAGGAAAAGGGAATGCTGACAGTGCTGGGATAAATCCTGGCACAGCATTGCATGGCACCAGAATTTGGGTTAAGCCAAAGCATTGGCAGCTGCAGCACGTGGAGCAGTCAGTGCTTTGCTCATCCAATCCAGATGATGGAAGTAACCATTAAGGGAGGATAACATTGCTTAGGTCACGCAGAAACATCACCAACAATACCAAAGCGGCCAAAACAAACCCCAAACCCTTCGCAATGAGCGCAGAGCGACACAAAGGGCTGAAGCCCAACCCCTCGCTTCCTCACATGGGGCAAAATCATGGCAAAATAAATGAATAAATCAAAAAGCACCCATTTTGAGGCAGAAGGGGAGCCTCCAAAAGCGTTTTTTTCTCCCCCTGAATGCTTGCAGGGTGGAGCTGGATTTCCTGTTTACCGCCCCACAGCGCTGCCACCTTCGCCTCCGTCATCACATCCCCTTCCGAGCAGCCAGGAACGGGGCAGTTCTTCCTTTTTTGGGTCTCAAGAGCATCAGGCTGAGCAAAGAGTGGGCAGCTGACAGAGATCCCCAAACTGCAACCCTACGGATTTTTTGCTGTAGCTTCGGTAAACCTGAAGTGCTGGGAAGGACCCCAGTAGAACAGCAGGGAATCTGCGTGTTGTCCATTCGGTTGCCCAACCTCTGCAGTTGGCATGGCCAGATTTTCCAGGCACTCCCATGCTTCAGCTTCCCAGTTTTGATGCATTTCCTTCACATCTGCCACAGACTGAGGACTCAGCAGTTGGGGGCTGTGTCGATGCTTTAAATTAACCAGAGCAATGCTCCTGCCCCAGTGCTCTCTGCCTACAAATAGGACCCATCAGCCGCTGCCACCATTGCATCCAATCCCAAGCATAATCCCTCCTAGAAACACCATTCCTAAGGTCCTTTTCCTGACCCCCAGAGTAGATCCCCATCTCCTAATCCACAGAGAGCAACCAAGCAGCTGCTGCTGCAGAGCTCCTGAGGAGCTACACTAAAAAAAAAAAAAAAAAAAAAAAAAAAAAAAAAAAAAAAAAAAGGAGGGAAAAAAAGAGAAAAATATCCAAATATCCAAATATGACATTTTCAGTGGGAGAAAAGGGATGCAGCCGTTTCTGCAATCAGAAGTGCATTTTGGGGGACACTTTCTTGCTGCTTTCAGGGCGGAGAGCTTTCCCATCACACAGTGAGGGATTGTGGGAATATCCCAACCCCGCACTGCTCCTCCTGCCCTGATTCTGCCCAGGGCAGCACAGCATCAGAGCATCCATCGATCCCAATGCAGAAGCAAAGCAACATCTGCAGGCGACAATTATCCCCTTTAGGCACTGGGAGAAACATTGCTCGGCGATGGGCTCCGGCTGCACATCCTCACCCACTGCAAGCAGATCCCAGCAGCACTCCGATGATGGTTCCCACCAGCTCCGGTCCAAATGTTGGTTTCAAGTAGGGATTTCTCCCGAGCTAAGCGTGAAGGTGCGGCGGTCCCATTGTTTTCCAGCTCTGCTATTGTTCAGCTCCGTCCTGTCAAAGGGGAGAGGAGGGAGCGGTGAGCGGTGCAGAGCTGGCGGTGGTTGGGCGGATGGCACAGGGCTGAGCGAGCGGACCCTTCGCTTGAGCTCCCTCCCCCCGTGCAGAGCCATCGGCCGCCAGCTTCATGGGGGCTGCAGGGAATGGGGCTGGGGGGCTCAGCTCGGGTACGGGAGAACCAGGGGGAAGGGTTAGGGGTCGCGTGCAGGGCTGGGACCCCGCAGATGGGTGCTCGCAGCTCCCTGCTAACGCAGCCAACTCCACGAGTGAGGGCGAAGGCAGCGATGAGGAGGTGACACCGACGGGAGGGCAGGGGGCTGTAAAGCCACCCTCCGCCTCGGGGACGGAGATGAGGACACAGATGGGGAAAGGCAGAGGGATGGGGATAAGAACGCGGCCGCCCCGTCCGTCCCGCACTCACCGCCCCGCACCGCGCTGCTCCGCGCCGCGCCCGCTGTCCGCGTGGGGCCGCCCCCGGTGGGGCGGAGCGGGGCGGAGCGGGGCGGGGAACGCGGCCAGGGCTGCGGGGAGGGAGGAGAGGGAGGGAGCCTGAGCTTCCTCGAGTCTCGCACCGCATCCCTGCGAACCCAGCGGTTCCTTCGGCTGGGTGATGCCCGGCTCCGGCAGATGGGGGTGCGCAGGAGGGGGGACCCAGGGGACGTCCCAGCTGTGGGAGTATGATCACAAATGAGGTCTGGCTTGTGCACCTGAGGCTGAATTCCCAAAGGTGCCCCATCCCAGGAACCAGGACTGCATTCCAAAAGGTGCTCCATCACAAGCACGAGGGCTGCAATGCCAAATGTTATTTCATCCCAAGTATCAGGACTGGGTTTCCAGTACCAGATAATGGCATGGCAATGCCAGAGGATGCCCCATCCCAGGGACTAAGGCTGCATTCCCAAAACATGCCCTACCCCAGATGGTAGGACTGCAATTCCAAAGGATGTCCCAACCCAAGTACTAGGACTGGGTTTCCCATCGCAAGCACCATGGCTGAATTCCCAAAACATGCCCTATGCCAAGCAGCAGGCCTGCAATCCCAGCCACCCAGGTTGGAAATACTTTCACCATCAGCTCCAATTTTGTACAGAACACGCTGGGGATGCTTTGTGGCCTTCACCACATAGGCTGAAGTAGTTACTCATGCCTTGAAATGCCCCAAACCCTGTGATATTCAGAACCAGATCCACGCACGCTCCACACTGCCATTCTGCCTTTGGGATGGTGCTATAGGGCCAGCAAACAGCCATGGGGGAGGGCTGGGGGGGCACGGAGGCACTCAGTATTCTGTCGGAGCAGCAGAGCCTTTGTCTGCTCCTGACCTTTCCCACTGCTTTGTGGCTTCCCTGGCTTTTTTTTTTTTTTTTAAATAGAAACAGCCCACACTGGGGGAAAAAAATAAATAAAAGGCAGGAACAAAGGAATCATCTAAACAGCTGCTTTAGCAAAACAAGCAGCTCTTCACAACTGAGATTGTAATCAGTGTGTGCGTGTAAAATATGAGGAGTTCAGGAGGAGCCATCTGGCGTGGGGAAACACTGACATGGCAAAAGGAGGAGGGAAGGGGGGCAGCAAGGGGGGATTATTGGTATTCCAGCAGCATCTTTGGGGCTGGCGGAGCTGAGAAGCCCTTTGTGGCCGCATGGCAGAGTGGAGCAGAGCTGCCCGTGCTGCAAAGCCCTGAAGTAGGGGCTTATCCTTAAAGCAAGCAGAGCAAAAAACAAGAGAAAATTAAAAGGAGAGACACATCCACAGCAGTGAAACACAATGGGAACCAAACCCACATGGGAAAAACAGTAAGACCCCAAATTCTGCCCCACTGCGGTCCTACAAGGAAAGGATGCTCTGAAGCTGGTTTCCCCTGAGCTGCTTTTCTGTGCAGCGAGTGTGAGATGAGCCTTCTACACCTTTGCACTGGGGGGATTTGCTTCTGCTCCCATACGGAGACTGGGTGCGAGTTATTCAGACCCCAGTGGAAGGCACCCAAGCTCTCCCAAGTTCCCCTATTTCCCCCCAGACTCAGGACATCCAAACAACATCCAAATTCACTTTCACACCCTGGCTGCTCTCCAGCATTTTGGCTTGAAGGCCCCCGAGGAGTCGTCCAGAAATACCCATCAATGCGGTGCACGGGGCTCTCGTTCGCCCAGCAGCGCCTGCTGGCTGCTCAGCAGCCTCCAGGAACCAGACGGGAAGGGATGCTCTCGTTTAAAGGTTCAGCTGACAGCTAACGGGGATTTCTTTGCTGTGTGGTCACTGCCCTCATTTCAGGATGGGCCCAATGTCTCATTCTGAAAATCCCTCTGAGATCCTGCCCAGCACAAAGCCACTCGTTCTGGGATGCTGAATCTGTATTCAGGCAGCGCACAAGTAGGAAACTCGGTGATTTCCAGAGCTCTGACCTAGTCAGACAAAGGCTTAATTGGGATTAAATCAGAATGGTTCTCATTGCTGCTCGTAGACACAAACCCACCCAGCTCCCACTGCTGACTGGGGTGGCTCTTTGCCATTCCTCCTCCCATCTGTTGCCCGGTGGCCGCGCAGCTTTCAGGCTGTGGGATAAGCCTAAATGAAGGGAGGTATTTGGGTGCCTTAATTAAAATTAACTCAAAATGAACAGCAGCTCAGACACCCCAAGAGCTGGCAGAAGACTGAAGGTGCTGTGCGCCCACACGTATCATTCCAGCCAACAGCAGCACTCAGTTGGGGCCCGAGAGGCCACAGAGCGCCCAGTTGACGCAAGCGCCCAACCCTAAGGCTTAATTTCAATCAGGAGACCAGCAATTGGCTTCGCTGCACGGACGCTGCCTGGAGAGGCATCGGTGTCAACTCTGTGAGGGTTCCACTGCTCCTTGGCTGCCCGACGGTTCTGTCTCGACACACAACCTGCAAATGCTGTCACTTCCAGCACACCAAGATCTGGGCTGATCGAAGTATTCACGATAAGAGCTCTGCATCAGGGAGCACCTGCAGCTGTGCTGCTGGAAAAGCACTTGCTGTGATGAGACAGAGGTCTTGGCATCATCTGGATTCCCCTCCGATTCTCCTTTTGGGAGGTGTCAGAAGCAAGTAGAACAGCACTGCGCCCAGTTGCGTCTATGCCCGTGTTTATTTATACTGAACAGCTTTAAAAATACAGAATAAAATAGCTTTATCTACTATTATTCACAACATCTGGTCCAAATATTACATTTTTAAATATTTGTTTAATGAAGCCATGTTAGAAAAAAATACGAAATTAAAAAAAAAAAAAACTCCATAAAAGAATTACACATCTCAGAACAACAAAAGGGGTAGGAGGGAAAAAGGAAGAAAAACCCTCTTGCTTAACAAAGAAGTTTTACAGCCAAAGTCAGTCACAAAAAATCGTGAGAAAGAAAGAAAGATTTATCCCCACTGCCTAAGAACAGTCAATAGTTTGTTACGCCCAAGGTTGTCATAAAGAGACAAAGTACAAGAATTTGGACTGGCAGCAGGATGGCTGACCTGGAAAGATGTAAAAAATGCCAGATAACACACGAGGCAATTCTAAATCTCTCTGATATCAATACGTACGGATGACAACGCACAGTCACAGTCGAATCAGAACTAGACAGGAATAGCTGGGATGTTTCTAAGCACAGATCCCCAGTGCAGCCCAGCACTCAGCCGGATGGACTCGTGGGCAGAAGCCGAACACTGGCAAACTTGTGGCCTCCTCCAATACTGTAATGACCTGTTGTAGCTGCAGAAACGTGAGAGCATTGCGTGTCTGCCATCCCCTGCCCCAAGAAGGCCGTCGGCCTCGGCAAGGAACGGTGCAAAGCCCCAAGTGGGACAGGCGGGGGAAAAGGGAGACGAGAGCCGCGTACTCAGGCAGGTTTCGGTTGAAGAAGGCCACACCAGAGGAACACTGCGGGTTGTGCTGGTCTGTCACATGCACCCTCTACGCCGATACACAAGTCACGTTAAGCACAGGTTGTATCAGATGGTGCGAACATCCAACGGCTCACCGAAGCCACTGGAAGCTGGCTGCTATAAACCACGTGTGCCTGCAGGGCTGCCTGTCCACACGTGAACACCTTCTGCCACGGACACACGACTGGTATCAACAGCACCGAGGATTTCAGTCTGCAAGAGCCAATTCTGCACCGGAGTACTGAGATCTCAGTAGGGAGATGAACAAAGAAACCCTTCAGTTTTTGTAGGAACATAAGGATGGGTAAATAAAGTATACACAACTACTATAGATTCGTCAATGAAGAAATTCTACCATCACATGACATTGTCATGACAATCATACCACTCCCTCCCAGGAAAACTGCAGTCATTATCCTGAGTGGAAATGTTATTCTTAATATATGGAAATAAAATACTGCAATATTCATGTACAAACCAAGTTGTCATATTTCAAGTCAGTATTAAAAGGCATAAAGCAAATTCTGGGTTTAAAGGTTGAACTTCCTGAGCGAGGCAACCGCTCACGTCCCGCCAGCACATTCCAATATGACAACATCAGCCAGCCACAGCCGAGCTCGCCTTGACACCTGCATTTCTGTAATTTGCACACACTTGCTTTAGGAAAACGTGTTTCGCCATGTTAGCAACAATCCTTAATTTAACCTTAAAAAAATACAAGAGCGATTACAAAAGCCCGAAGTTGTGTCCTTTTGCACACGTTTTAAGCCATCTCTGATATGACAAAGTGATACTTCTACCATGAATATTTGCCCTTCCACCTCAACGCTTGGTCAAAACGTCTCAGTGCCTCTTTGCTCGTCCACCAGCTGTTGTCTGCTGCAGGCAGCTTTGCTCAGCACTGCGCTTTGAAGGCAGGCAGCCACAGACTCGGACCAGCAC